CTCTACTATTTTGGTTTCTTTCTATACCTCATGTGGTTAGTGTTCATCTCTTATCTCACTCGCGAACTTTCATAAGAAGTTGAGAATTATTATATTCATTAAATCTCAATCACACAGTGATTTAGTATTAACAACTGGATGACAGTGTTTCGAGTACAATTTATTGCCTCTCATAATCGTATCAATTTAGTCACACGTTCTCACATTTTTTCATATATACATATATATATATATATATATATATACTCGTGCCCAGCTGGATATACCTTCATTCCGCACTGGGTTCGAGCCTCAATAGGGGACATCATCACTCACTCCGGAATGCAGGTACATCCAGTTGACGAAATGCGCATCCTGACTGGATTCCACAGCTAGTCACCATTCACCAGTTTAATTCAAGTTTACTAATCAGATATCATAGAAGCATCTGCACAAGAAGCCGACAGACATGTCAACCTGAGCAGGTTGGAGCATTTCGGTCTAATCAATCGACGGGAATATCTAACATTTAGTTAAATATTCTAACAATTACTGATATGTATCCACATGATGTGTGTTATGTTTTTGACAGTCTGTTATATTTTGCTATGTGTATATGGATCGATATTCCATTATAACTGACAATATGCTTTGTCTGTCCACTAACTAAATAAACATGTATGACCTTGTTGTCACACGACATTACAATCATTCATGTTAAGACTGGCTATTTATTGGTTCATGTGTATTAGCCATTTTAATATATACTTTTGCATTGTATTCTTGTTCCCATGTTTCGTACACTACTTACCATTCACTCACACTCTTGTGTGACGGCCATTATTTTCCTTGTCTGGAAATTACAAGTTTCATCGTAAACCTGGTGGTCTTCTGATTTCCCTCTTTCCGCGTCAGGACTATTAACTACTCGACGAGTACATAACGTAATTGGCGACGGGGAAAACTCTAATAACTCACTCAGCAGCAGTACATAGCAATTACTCAAACTATTAATTTGTTTAATAGAAAATACTAAAGCAAATGCTTCAGTTTTGCAAAAAAAAGTTAAACTTGATACTCTGTTTACTGCCTAGGTATTTTTATTAGAAAATCACGTGTATTGTAAGCATATTTGTAGAGAAAATAATAATAATGAAAAGTCGTTGTCTCGGAATGAAGTTATCTGATGGTTTTTTTTACTTCTAAATATGATACTTTTATAATATTTGTATTATATATAATGTATAGGTATACAATACGTATTCAGTAGATACATCTCTGTTCATCATATGACTGACTAATTATCCGCTGAGAGAAAGAAAAAGAAAGGCTGGTTTCACTACTACTACTACAACACCTCTATGCGTCGATTTCTTTTAGAATATTAACACCTGCTCTTTGAATGCTTCCAGAAAAGTAAAAATGATGAATTACAATTTTTTTTAATGTTAAAACTGCTGTCACAGTAAGAGAATTTCATCTGATTGCGTCAGTGTTTAGCAGCAGTACAAAAATTTATGCTACCCAACTAAGTGATGCATTCAATTAATGTATTTATATTTGAAAAACTACCACCAAGACTAATCGATCGATATTTGTGTCTTTGTAGAAGCCTAGATGTTTTGGGGGCTTTTGTTCAGTCAAGGATCCTGGTTTTTGCATCATAGCTCATGTTAAGTGTCTCACAATATTGGTAAGTAATAGTGAATGTTAAGGAAAGGGCGGGGGGGGGGGGAACCTAAACGATTGAGTTAATTAGGATATACGCTATGCATACCAAGCTATTGGACTGGAGAAGAGTTAGAGGTAGGCGGGAATTAAAAGATGGCAACTGTCTACACAGCGCCCCTGTAAAATGTAAGATGCTGCTACAGGACTGGACTACGTCAACTCCTAGCTTAGTGATAGGAAGTGAAGTGATACAACATGTTGACCACTTCACCTATTCAGGAAGTTGTATCAGCACCGACGAACTGATTGGCGACGAAATCTCAGCACGGATCCAAAAAGCTCGAGCTGCTTTCACTGACTTACACCATCTCTGGCGTAGGCGTGACATCTGGCTATCAACCAAGGGACGTGTGTACTGCCCAGCAGATCGCTCTGTCCTTCTCTATGGCTCTGAAACATGGCCAATACGACTTGAAGACATGAAAAGGTTGACTATTTTTGATCATAGATGTCTGCGATCTCTTTCTCACGTTAGATGGTATAATAAGGTAAGTAATGTTGACGTTAGGCGTAGAGTGTTGGGCAAAGAGGGAAAATCAATCGGCGAGGCTATAAAGTTACATAGATTGAGATGGCTAGGTCGATCACATGCTGCGCATGCCTAACCATCGCCTCCCCCAACGGGCATTACTAGCCGACATAGGTGCAGGTTGGAAAAGAGTGAGTGGTGGCCAAACAAAAACATGGCCTCATCAGTCCATGAAATCCTTGACAGTTAAACTGAGTCAAGTAGGGAGATGCAGAATTCCGGATTGGGGCCCTCGAGACTCTAAGAATCAATGGCTGGAGACAATAGGTGACATGGCTCAAAATCGTTGTCAATGCCTAGCGCAGATGTATTCAGTCTCTGTAATCTTTCATATTCCTTTCTACCATTACCCATTCAGTTTCGCTCTTATACTTGTCAAACTCTATTAACTCTCTTCACTCATCATCTTGTCTACCTTTGTGTGCTATTTAGAACGTGGCAACTGGAACTGCTGCACTTCGGTGGCAAGTTCTATGTTGAATCCAGACAGACAGATTCGACTTCTGGTTTTAAGTTATCCTGTACTGTGTCGTCACTTTTCCGAGTCAGCTCACTCATCCCCATGTAATTTATTGTGTATTTAAAAAAGGTTTTCTTAAACCTCTTTCTTTACCTCTTCATGTATTGCTTTAATTCATTTTGTGACGGTAGAAGACGATGACGTGGTAAAGGGATGTTAATTTACAATTTGGTCTCTATCTGTCCCGTACTCCCAACTGGTTTTCAATGGCTCCCTAACTGATATCAATCCGTAATCAACTCATGAAAACAAAACTAACCCTTACAAACCAAACTATAGAAAATCAATCTGATGCTCGCTAGTGACTTGTTATAGGATGAAGTTTCCTGGAGTTCTAGTGAGAAGTCGTAACCAGTGAGGTCCATCCAGATGTCACGTGTGAGGATGGATGTCCTACCTACGACAATGGTTGAGGTCGAGCCAAATCACCAATTGGAAGAAGTTATAATTCATGGGCTGGCCATTAAATCGGGTCCCAGTGGCTGAATGGTATTCGAGCTTGCCTTGTAACAGGAAAGTCCTGGGTTCAAAAACTGGTGGTGGGTACGTACTCCCGATGATTCCCAAACTAGGATGAATCAGATGTCCAGTACTTCCAGGTTTTCAATGGTTCTCTAACTGATATCAATCCATGACCAAACTCGTAAAAAACAAAATCAACGCTTACAAAACAAATTATAGAAAATCTCTATCTAGGCAAATTATGCACGCCTTATCTTCAACGCACCACTGGCACAAATCTTCCGTGCTGTTGTGCTACTTCTAGCCTTCCTTTGTTTTGTGTTTCTTTGTGTTCCTTTCACATCTCCCATGTATCTCCAAAACACTATGTCATCTGCTTTCTCTGACATCAAATCTATATTCCTATTTTTTTTATGCCGATGAACATCTTTTTATTTACTACTGATAAATTTTTCTAGTAGCACGAGCCATAATTCCACTTCATTTTATCTTCGTCGTTACTATTGTTATCATTATTAGGAGACTTTGAATTTTTAACACAACTTGAAATACTTTAGAACTCTTATTAGCAATTCACCTATTTAGTAATCTTTCAAAATTATATAACTCACCCAATTCAAGTCTACGCCCGTATAAATCATATTAATTATCTTTGCTGTTATCATATGCATGCTGACTGGGAAACTTCATGCCTTCTTCCTTAATATAAATACGACTGTTCAGCTTGACAGCGAAGTCGTTGAAAAGAATTTTTTCCAATTGTAAGATCTCATTACGAATTGATATCAGTCAGAGAGTAATGAACGAGTTTTTAATCCTAGTTTGGGACCCTTCATCTGTGCTCATCCATCACCCCAACAGTAACGCAGTCCGGGTCCTCCAGGTTATGAGTCATTAAATTCCTGCAAAAGTTCCTCGACGGTCAACGAGCTTGGTGTCGTAACTCGAGTTACAGCATACTAGCAAACAAAATGTTGGTGGACTAATGGTTTCAACTTGTCGGTTATTATTTCAAATATTGGTTTTGTATGGATTGAGTTTGATTGCATGGAAGATTTCATCATGAGCTGAGATCAGTTAGAGAACCATCGGAAAACCAGCTGGGAGTATTGGACAGCTGTTTCGTCAGCCTAGTTTAGGACTTTTCAGAGGTACGCACCACCACCAGGGTTCGAACCCAGGATCTTCTGGTTACAAGGCCAGTGAGCTCGTAGACCATTGAGCCACTGGGAACCGATTCAATGGCCAGTCCATAAATTCTAACTTCTGTCAATTCACGACATAGCCCGACCATTTCGCAATGTCTTCTTCGATGAGTTACTGCCTCAACTTCGACCTGCTGTACCCTTCTAGTCACGGCTTCCCACTAGAACCCGAGGTCACTGCTTGAATAGGGCCAGTCGCTAGTGAGTATTTGTGAATTGCAATTTCACACAACATGGAAGCTTCTTGTTTACAGATACAGAAGTACTCTTCTCTACTGCCTTGATCATATTGATTTAATTCAGTGTTATTCAGAGGATTAACTGACATCTAACAGTAGAAGCTGGACAAGAAGTCATCGATAAAAGTATTCTTTGTTCACTGACTAATTTTTTGTAAAATATTTACTCAGTACATGATACAAGATATACCTAGTCGTCATTAGGATGGATTATTGTGTTGTACACCGAAGAGAACATTTTGACGCTTTGTTGTTATACTTTCTTTATCTGTGCGAGTGTGTATTTAACCCTGATGTAATTCATAATCATTTTGTTTATTTTTCATTTTGTCTAGCTTGCTGTTTGTACTATTATATCAGAGTTTTGTTCATTAAATGAAAAATATGGTGTCGCTATTGTTGGTAAAATTCCAGTTGGGTAGGTTTTTGATGATAACTTTTTCCCATTTTTTCCCACATGCATATGAATCGCCATTCTTCGCTATATTGAGACTTATTCATCACTAACCACGTTGAATAAGGAAAGTTTAAAAGACTGTTAGAGAAGACGTCGAGACAAGTGTTTAGATCTGCTTGGTCGTTTACAGTACCTCTTCTGTAGAACTATCTCAGTTTTCTCCATTGTTTAACTATACATGACTATATGTACAATAAAGACTGACTGACAAATGCAGTCTAATCGATGACAGAGACAAAGCGTCAGTATACTACTGTCCTAATGGTTTTTTATTCCTTTACGTTCCCAGTGGAACATAGAGTTTCAGTCTAGAAGCTTATAGTTCCTGTAGCGGTGGTGCTTATTTTTACAGGATGGGGTCGGCTAACCTCATGCCCAACATTCCCCCTTTACCAGTCTTATTACTGGTTTGGCAAGGTAAAAGAGTGCGTCAGTGGCCGTGGATCGAACCCCGAGCCACATACGTGGTTGGCAAATGTTACTTTGTAGGGATTTCATTGGTTTTAAGTTTGACTAGGGATTAATGTCACTTAGGGAGTCATTGAAAAAACCGTGGATTACACTAGACAGCTGTTTCCTCATAGTTTGTAGGGACTTTAGCAGTGCGCAGGTATTGTCTCACGGCTGCGGAAGATATGACAATGGAAGATATGAAATGGCCAGCCGTCTTTCGTCATAGATGTCTCCGGTCTATTTCCCGTGTTAGATGGCATAATAGTGTGAGTATTATTCAGGTTAGACATTAGTTGAGTGCTAGGTATGGAGGGGGAATCATCAGTCGACCAGGCTGTCAAGCTTCATCGACTGAGTCGGTTAGGACATGTGTTACGTATGCCTAACTATCGCCTTCCTCGACGGGCAATGTAAGCTAACACACGATCAGGTTGTAAAACAGCTAGCGAGTGGTGGTCAAAACAAAACATGTCATTAGTCAAGGAAATCCACAAGAGTTAGTTTAAGCCACGTAGGAAGGTGTAGACTTCTGTCTGGTTGAGGTTCTCGTGACGGGAAAATCAATGAAAGCTGGAGACAATTGATGTTATGACTCAAAATCGTTCTCAATGGCTACTGCAGATGCATCCAGTCTTTGTGACTTATAATTTCCAATGAAACTATATTGTTCCTCGATACTACTATTCCTGTTGTCTCATATCTCTGTCTACTATCTTTATTTTGCATTCCTTTTTACTTTCTTCTCTCACTTTGTGTGCTACACGAAGTGTGGCGACTCGAACTGCTGCACATCAATTTTGCCAATTTTATATGTTGAAACCAGTCAATCAGTCAGTCATTTATTAGATTGTGTCATTTACATTAAAAATCCCTGAAAGATATAATTTTTTATGCTTTTACGAGTAATTCTCCGTTTCGTGGAGGTCGAAAAGTGAAAACTTTCATGGGTTTAGGAGGAGTGAAATAGAGATTGCCACGCGATCTGTAGACTTCGATATTTACATTAAGTGATCTTCAGCTTAGTTTATTATCATTTAGTACGCGATAAGGTGTAATACATCTACATTGTAAAGTTATTCCTCTTAGTTTACATGATATGTAAGTAAACACATTCTCACAAGTTTTCTTATCATGTTATTCTTTCTTTTCGCCTATTTAAGTCTACCATCGCCAATTGTACCTGAAGTCAAATTGATACCAGAAGTTTTAATGGATTCAGTGATTATTTCTTTTGTTGCATTAGCGACAACAATTTCATTGGTGAAATTATACGCTACAAAAGAGGGTTATGATGTTGGCTATACTCAGGTGCGTCAAACTACGGTGTATTTGGTGCCTTCTACTCTTCTGTAAGAAGATATTGAGAGAGACACATGTGATCTTCTTTATTTTGTGTGTCGGAGATTCTTTTCTACAATGATTTGCTGTTATCTGTTAAAATGTTTAAAGTATTTAATGTACCGAAGTGTCTCTTGACTATCTTGTTGATATTCTTACGTAAATTTCTACAATTATGTAATGCGCTTTGGACAACAACCTTGAGCGATGGTCACACCACTGAGCAGTGTTTTTAAATTCCTCATCATTGTGGATGGTCAATCTCAAGTGACGTGGGATGACGCATGCTGGTCTTGTTGGCATTTGCAGTATTGCCAGCCAACACAAGCACTGCAGCGACGGCTAGGTACTCGAGGACAACTGCCAAGTAGACAGGGATTCAGCGTAGTTACTATTGTGCAAAAGACGATGCACACGACAAACTGGAAGCGAAGACCAGCGTGAGCTGACTGAATTTGAGCTTTAACGCGAGACTTTTCACCATTGCTGTGACCACTTATGTTTGAACATCAGAGCAAAGAAACGTTCTGTATACCTGGGACACAAATATTTCACAGTGATTAGTTTTCATAATGTGATTATTATTATTATTGTTCCCTTGGGTTCCCAGTGAAACATACGGCTTCAACTGCACGTCTCCATTTGCTTTGTCTTCTGCTGTACTTTTCACCTGCATCCATGTTACTCCATACTGTTTCAACTCCTCTTCATACGATCTCCTCCATGTCACCCTTGAACTGACGTCTCACTCGCCGCTTCCCTTTCGGCCTGGTCCCACTCGAGCAATGGCCTGTCGCGCGATGTCACCCAGCGGCCTCCTCAACGAGTCAGTGTCCAATCCATCTCCATTTTCTCCTGTATATTTGTTGGGCGATTGGCTGTTGTTTTGTTTGTTCTCGCAGTTTCTTGTTGGTGATTCTTTCTGGCCTGGCCATCAGATCTTCAGTATAGAGTCAGCGAAGACAGTTGTTGATGACGGTCTGCAGCAGACTGTTGGAAATATTCTTTGTGACCCACCCACCAAGTTTCTGATCCGTATAGAAAAACTGACTGACTTGACGCTGTTTGTATTGAAAATCCTACCGAATTTCGTTGTTGATGCTGAGTGACGAAGATTTCCAGATTGGTTTCAGGTTGATGAATGTGTTTCTCGCCTTCTCGATTCTCGCTCGATTTGACATCCTCGTCCGTTCCGACTTCCTGTAGTTGAGGCAATGCTATAATGTGATTATAGTTCTACTAAATTCTGAGATGTATAATTTGTGGTGTTGACGTATTGATGAAATATTTAGACTGCAGTCAACTGCATAGATGATTAAGTCAAAGTCGGTCATTGTCGGAAAAGCGAGATAGACCTTCATTACTCTTAAATCATTGTGGAAGACTCTTACACTCAGCATATGGAATAAGATCGGGATCTATGCCTCAGTGCTTCTATACAGTTCAGAAACTTGTCGTGTCCAAAGAAGTATTTCCATTGGACTTCAGACTATTATCCGCTTCATACTGAAACTCAGATGGCTAGTCGGTAAAGCTAATCAATACGAGTCTGACAGCGAGAAAATCAACCAAGAAAATATCACCTAACAAATGTACAGAAAGGAACCTACATGATATTAGGTAGTTGGAGGCAATCGGCCACAGGTAGCTTGGACCTAGGTTTTGTGCTAGTTGGCACCAATCAATCAGCAAGGTGTCTCTGAAACCCTGAAGGAACTCATGTCCCTTCTGAGGAGATTCGAACCTGCATCACCGAGTGATGGAGTCAGAGCCGTTATCACTAAGCTATTCGGATCGCGGTTGACCTTCTTTAGGAATGTAGTGGATACTTTAATTGGACACTAGTAACTAGTGTGACGTGTCTAGTCCTTTCTTTGTTTGGTGCAGACTGAATTCTATCAGTTAGGTTCGCAATGTGGCCGCCATACCACTAGGTAGCTCGCAATCACGGTGCACATTGATTTGATGATATTAGATAGTTGGAGGCAATCGGCCACAGGAAGCCTTGCTTAACCTAGGTTTCGTGCCAGTTGGTACTCATCAGCATATACGCTGAAGGAACCATTGTGTGCATTGCGTGACATCATTTGCCAGGCTATTGAATGGAACTGTGAATAGGAAACGATTGGTTGGACATGGGTCTAAAGGTGACATGAAGGAGATCTTGTGTGTGAGAGAGACAGAGAGAGAAAGATAGTTTAGAGTTTATGTTCAATCCTGGAGCCAGCTAGAGAAGACTTCAGAGGATAGAGTAAAATTGCGGTGAGTTGTGGAAGCCGTTTATTAGACTGCGGGACCTATGGGAATAAAAATTAATCATAGTATACATTAAGAACAAAATTGACTTGTACATTATTGCTTTCTTTATATTATTTCACTTTTTTATTAAAGGAGTTGAATGCTCTGGGAATGGCCAATATAATATCTGGATTCTTTCGGTGTCAACCAGCCTCTGGTGCTTTAGCTCGTTCCTCAGTTGCTTATGGCGTTGGAATGTGCTCCCAGGTTAGCCTATATCTGTCTTTGTCTTATTTACAACCAGCTGTTTGTACCGTCTTCTTTTATTCTTTTATTGATAATCCATTTTTTTAAGGTAAAGCAATAAGAAGACGTAGTTTGTCTGAATCGTGTAATGCTGTGTTTGCGCAACACATTTCGGATAATCTGATCACGCACACACACACACACACTTGTCATAGGAATGTGTGTAAATATGAAATTAATAAACAATTAAGAGGTGAGAAAATAGACAAGTTAGGTCAAGTTAAGATGACATATTGAAGGTCAAAATAACAATGAAGACCACTAGACCAAATAGCAGAGGTAATAGTACATCTGGCATGGTATCAAAACAAAATTTACCAAGGAAGGTTTAATGTGATGACGAATTGTTTTTGAATGCATAGAGGTGGTTTAAACTTTCTAGTTGCCAGCTAGGGCTTCCACAAACTTTAGGATACGTCCCAAACAAGTTTTATAGATAGGTTTAAAAGATCTGTTAACCTAAATTTTATGTCCTGTCTCTATAATATGTTTCGCGATAGAGGAGCCAGGTCTCCTGTTCTCATCATTAAAGGGTTCTGAATATTCCATTTGTTTCTGGAGCCATGTAGGAATATGCTCTGAAGCCAACATTTACTTGCAGAGATCGATGAGTCCTTCCTATGTATGTATATCCACACGTACATTCAAATCGGTAAATACAATGGGATGTGACATCATTTTTCGCATGTTCATAGGACTTAGATAGATGAATATATTGGCTTCACATTCTCCATTATTATGATATTAGCTGCATAAAAAGTCTTTTTAACAGCAGCGTTCAGCCTTTGTCTAGTTATCAAGCTGCTTTGATGCCCCATATAGGGTAGCTTGATGTATATATCTTTCTTAGGGGCGAGTTAGAGAATGGGTCTTGGTGTTCTGACTACTTTATATATCTCCTGATGAACTTGTTTGCATAACTGTTACCAACCAGAGTTTATGTCTACTTTCTTTCTTCTTCATCAAGTGTGTCTTCAGAGCATATTCGTTGGATTCTATTGGAGAGGCACCTAACTAAGGCTCTTTTTTACCGAACAGGGTAGAAACTGTTGTAACTTAGTTACTGTCCTGTCCAGGTAGGTTTTTTATAAATAGATCTTTTTATTGACCCATCAAGCCGTCAACTAAGCAATATATCTAGGAAAGATAAATAATTATCTTCCTCTCCTACAGATGTAAGTGATATGCTATTCTGAACTTCATTCATTCGATTTAAAATTGAGGTGGCAGAACAAGCCTTATTATCACTTATGCTTACAATATCATCTGCATACAATCCATAAAGTGACACATTTTCGATTAAATCCTCCGATAAATTCTCAATCTACAACATATAAATATCTGCTAAAAGGGGTACTAATGGACTGCCCATAGCAACACCATCAACATGGCGGAAACAATTGCCTTTCAAATGTAAACCTTACATTGTTAGTACATAAAAGTAGTAAATCCCTTAAGTAAGATATAGGGAACAGGATGAAAATAAACATGATAGACTAGAGATAGCATAGATGGTTTAATGGTTAAATGTTTACCATTCACACGGAGGTGGTGTCAGTGGTCAATCCTCGGTTTGTCTCACTCCTAAACCTCGCCTAGCTGGCAGTTAGCTGTAAAAAGAGAGAAAGTTGGGCATAGGTAGGATAGTAGTTAGCGACCCCACCCCGTAGAAACAACAACATCTTTACTGGGACTTCAAAGTTAGATTCTCGATGCCCTATATTCCCCTGCGAACTCAAGGAATGGAAAACAAAAATGGGTAGACTTTTGTTTGTTGAAATTATTGTCTTTTTAAGTTATAGAGCAGAGGTTTTTTAAAAGAACACGCATAAGTAAACTGCAGAAAAAAGACACTCCAAACCCATAATCTAACTAAGAAGTTTAATTTGTTTTAGTAAATTTTCGTTTCTCTTCCAAAGTTATGGATTTTTCTATTAGAACCGCATGGGTTTTGGGTGTTTTAGTTGCTTATTTAACTCGTAGAAAATCAAAAGCTGTAAGCCAAAGAAAATATTTACTTTTCAATAACACCATCGTCAACAGCTCTACTCTGATATAGCGTTTTTAATACAGTACAGAATACGCTGATCGCGTAATGATCGGTTTCTTAACAACAGTTATTCAGTATCAGTATGTCATTATGATTATTATCCCTTTGTATTCGTAGTGGAACATAAGACTTCGGCAACATATCCCCTTTTCGATCTGTTTGCTCTAGTCCCAAGGTAGCACATACTATTTCATCTCCTCTGCATCCCTAAGACTCCGAACGCGTAATTTCATACTCGGATACAAGCTGAGAGCCTGAATTCTGACGTAATTCAATGTTCTTCCCAGCGTATTTCTAATTTCTATTTCCTTTGGCGTATTTATTGAACAATAGGTTCTTGGTTGCTACGCTGCCAGAGTTCCTTGCCGCTCCTACATGCTTACCAGCCATCCTATCTTCAGCAGCGAGCCAAGTTAGGTGTTGATGAAAGTCTTCAGCACCCTGTTGGAAACATTTTGTCCTATTTAGGACTTGTCCTATGGATGTACCTGCATTCCCCATCCACTCACAGGCATCCACCAAATTACTTCAAGTTAAATGCTCAGACATCATCGAATCGTCCGCACAAGGGAGTCAATATTTCCACCTAAAGCCATGCACTGCGGTCAAGTCAATCAACAGGACGGACCAAACTGAGTTCAGTAATTATTAATACACCTTACGCAAGAGGTATCTTTCGTGGCTGGAATGGTCTAGCGGATAACGCTTTGGTGTTTGAAACTATGGATACTTGGTTTGAGCACCAGTGGCAACACCATCACTCACTCACTGGAGAATGTAGGTATATATCCACTAACTAACGAGTCTCCCAAATAGGACTAAATGCACATCCTGGATTCCACTGCTAGTCACCACCCAACAATATCACTTTAAAGTTCAATCATATAAATGAAAGTTAATCTTTTTACCACGAGTGATCAATCTATATATCTTATCCATCGTTGATGAGTTATTCATTTAATTACTTGTTTGTATGATGCTCAAATCCGAATCTTCAACAAGCTTGCCTTGTAACCTGAAGGTTCTGGGCCTGACCCCTAATGAGGTCATGAGAGTGGATGGTGTTGCAGTCCTAAACCAGGAGAAAACAGTTGTCCATTACTCCAGCTCTGGTTCCCAATTGTTTTCTAACAGAAGTCATTTTGTGATCAAACCAGAAGAATACTCTGTGTGTGTTTGTGTTATTCGATTTTAGTATGTAGCAGCAGTATTAAACTGGTACATCATACATTTTGGACATGTTACGCATGTTATAGTACATTTTGTTTTATTTTATCCCTAGTCAAACATTGAAGCTGTATTACTTTATTTTCTACTTTTCTATCCGTAAGAAATCACATGGTAACTTAATCGATACATATTTAAATAGTTATTTTGTTTTTCAAGTTTGTTCATGGATTGTTATCAGTTAGGGACGTATAGAAACCCAGGGATTAGTACTATACAGCTATTTTGTCATGGCTTTTATCGGGAGGCGTCAGCACAGTGCGCTGAATAATGATCCACTCTAGCCTCGCCACCAGCGATCAAACCCACCGTCTACGGTTCATGAGGCGATTTCATTGAGCGCTCAGCAGCATGAACAGGATATAAAGATGTTCAATTGAAATACTAATTCATGGATCATCGAGTCGGATCCCAATGGCAAAATGGTCTACGAGCTTGCTTTCTGACCGAGGCGCCTTAGGTGTGAAACTCGGTGGATGCATACTGACGATGAGTTTCACACAGGGACGAAACAAATGTCCATTACTTCATCTCTGGTTTCCAATGTTTCTCTGAGTTGACATCACTCCGTGATGAAAAATCCTGAAACAAATCAAATCCCTGTGAACGAATTCTTCAGTATTGATTATCATATGTTTCACACACGAATTTCCCCGTAATAAATTTGAATAGAGTTAGAACAATCATTGGTGCAGAACAGTATGGATCCATTTTCTTTCGTCGGTTCTCATCAGCTGCTTACAACTTGTAACATCCAATAAAACTAGTTATAATACACTTTTAAGGATCGTTGTAAGAATCTCTTAGTGAAACAAACAAGGTTATCTGAAATTATTTTTATATGTATAAGTGCTAATTTTTTTGCAAAAATCAAACAAATTTGTTGTGAGGGTGTTCACAAGTCAGTGATAATTGTGTGACCACAGATAATAAAATAAAGAGGTTAGATCTCATAAGATTGGAAAATTAAAATTTGGTATGTACGATGTCGACTGAAAGTTTGACGATGTAATGCAGTGAATAGAATTGAAAGGATTAAAAAATTAAGTCTTATATAAAAGTCAAGCGAAACATCAAGGGGGGAGGGACGGCAAATAAAGCGGTGAAATCAGAAGACTGAGGCAAGAGTTACTAGTTTTGATAAAGACTTAGGCATTGCACGCCGTAGTGTCGAAGTAGTTTCCAAATTACTGCTCGGTAAATGCTGTCTGTCGGAGGCCTTTTCGAAGTCGTTGAAGTTGAGATAGATAGAGGTTTGACTGTCACTTTATGCTTTGTTCTGTGATAACGATGCTCAGAGTAGCAATTTGATCAGCAGATGATTTGCCTTTCTTGAATCCAGCTTTTTCCGGTAGGGCAGAGTTCTGTATCCATTACATCTTATATTCTTTCCAGGATGATGCGACTTACTATTTTACTTTACTTGGACAAGAGCATGATTCCACGCCAGTCAGTTCTTGTTGAGGCATGAGTCGCCCTTCTTCGGTAGCTTGACAAGGTCGCCAGCCTTTCTTCCAATTGATAGGCACCTTTCCTTCCTTCTAAACGTTTTGCAATTATGGCGTGAGCACATCTGTAGCGGTCTCTGGGTTCATTTTCAGTGCTTCGGGGAGAATTCCGTCTGGCTCTGCTGCCTTCCCGGTAGGCTATTCATTAGCTCGACTGCATTTAGGATTTTGCTTTCGTTGGAGGATTAGTGTCCACCGGCTGACAGTTCTATGCGTGTTGTTGGTGTTATTTCTGGGCGAGTTGCAGGTGATGATCGATTCAAAGTCACTCAAAATTATCAACCTGTTGTTTTCATTTGTTACTCCTCCTTGGAAATTAGGTTCAATTGAACATCTTTTATTGGCTTTATCATCTGAGTTTATCTCTTCACGGAATGTGACCAAATTATCTATATAATATTCTCAAGTCTCCTTTACCTGCAGCCTTCCGGTTCTGTTACAGTTGCGAGCCAGTGTGTCGTAGAATGGTCTTTTGTCTTTCCTAGCACTCTTCCTCACTGCTTTACTTAGTGCAGTGTACATTGAACTCAGCTTCTCCTTCTGTTGTACATCTTTTCGTTGAGTCATCTTCTCTTTCACCATCCTCCTCTCCTGTCTTCTATTAGCTTCCAGGTAGGCGTCCGTTGGGGGCCATTCTTTATCGTGTCTATTATTTCATCCTATAATAGTTAGTTGTGCACGTTTCCTTGAACATCACTTTCAAAGAGTTAGTTCCAATGTTCTTCCCTAGTGTCCTCACTGAGATTTGAACCCGTTTAACACACTACTGCAGTCAGAGACAATACCGCTAAGCTATTTGTGTTCTCGCGACTGACCTCCTATAGAAGACTGTAAAAGATACTTTGATTGGACACTGGGTTGTCGTAACTGATGTCATACATCTAATCCTCTGCGCTGGTCCAGACTGAATTCTATCACAGTCTAGTTTGCAGTCTGGTCAACATGCTGTGTGTCTCGTCACATCACGGTTCACTTTGAATTGTTGTTATTCGATGGTTGAAGACAATCGACAGGGAGCCTTAGATCTAGTTTTGTGCACTGGTTGGCACTAGTTAGTAAGGCATATCTCTACAGCAGAGTTGATAATAAAATCACCGAAATTATTTATGTCTTTTTTGAACCTCTGATTTTCTCTCTAAATACTTTTTGTATTAGAGTATGTAAGAATAAAAGTTTCTGCTTTTTTTGAATAAATAAATAAATGTTTCACTTAACTGCATAATTAATTCTTCTTCTTTAATTTTGTAATGATTTCATTTGAATCAACAGGTTGCTTGTCTGATATCCTGTTCTATTATATTACTTGTGGTTACTTTTGTTGGACAATTTTTACAAAGTGTACCAATGGTATGTGTGTGTGTTCATTCATTTCATCATTGATATATATACATATTTGTAGGATTTAATATGACGATATGCCCTTTTTTCATGTTTCTGTTAAGCTGCTGCATACCTCTTGAAGTCAATTGCGGGGGGGGGCTGGTGACTAGCATTTCTTGCTATTTGGTGGATATACTCACATTCCCCAGTGAATGAATGAGCGATGGTGTTCCCACCAAAGCTCGAACCCACTTTCTTTAGTTTCAAACGCCGAACCGTTATCCACTAGGCTTAAGTTGTCTAGTGCAACCACATCTAGTTGACGAGTCCCAAATAGGACGAAATGAGCATCCTGGCTGAATTCCACTGCTAGTCACCATTCACCAATCGATTTCAAGTTAAATGACCATAGATCATCGGAGCATCTGCGCTGGGAGTTGACATGTCAATCTGAGCACTTCGGTCTAATTGATCGATGGGAAAATCTAAATTAAGTTAAATAATACTGATATTTCTCTTTGAAAATCGTCATGTTATTCGGAATTCAGAGTGTTTCATCTGATTCCAGTTAATTAAACTATGGAATTTGTAAGGATTTGGTTTAATATAATTCCAGTCGTTAGATTTTATTGGGAAAGAATATTAGGTAGAAGGATCATTGAAAACTGCGGAGCATTGGTCAGCTGTTTCATCCTATTGTTTGTGACTCTTCCGCGCTGCCCAACCACAGTTCCAATAGTTGTTGAGCGTGCGACCTTTAGGTTACGAGACCAAGCTCGTTCACCATTCAGCCATTTGAAGCGGGATTTAGTGACCTTTGAATATTAACCTTGTCTACTGTTGATATAGCACTACCCGTAATCAATGCCTTCTATGACCATTGACTTCACCTTGATTTGGGGGATCCTAGTGGTCACGACTTCTCACTATAGCTTTAGGACACATATCCAACTAAATTTTGTTACGTTATGGGTGTGTACTGCTGAAAGGACCTCAAAGTGGACGAAACAGATGTCCAGTGCTCCATCATTCTCTATGCTCTCTCTGACTGATATTAGTCGGTAACGAAATGTGACAGTTGATTTCAGTTAGTTGTTAGAGATGGAGTGACATTATGCTACTAATGAATAAAAAGGGTTTTTCAGGTTTAATCTTTACATCATAGTGTGAATGTTTAGGTTACATGAAAATGCACTGAAACTTGTCCTGTTGTGAAACTAAACAAAACCCAGAATTCTATTAAATTCTTATTATCAGTTTGCAGCGATTTGATTTGTTTGGGGTTAGATGACTGATTGACATCAGTTAGAGAACCATGATGTACTGCATAAGTGTTTCATCCTTGTCCTGGAATTGTTAAGAGTACTGAGAATGGATCCCAAGACCTTCAAGTTGACCATCCAGTCACTGGAATAAAGTTGATTAATTCTGCTGAATTGTAGTGACTAGTCCGTGTTGACGTGTTGGCTCCTTATACACAAGTTTTAACGATGCCTTGAGATTGTTCGTTCAATAGTGGTCACCAGGGAAGTTCAGAATGTTCCAGGCTCGCGTCTCATCGGGTAAACCATCAGTCATTGGGATGCAAGTACATTATTCGGACGAGTCCCAAAGGGGATGAAATGCTCATCGTGGATTCCACTTATAGTCACCATCAACCAAACGACAATTACAAAATTGATGATATCTTCTGGTTATTATTCATCAGAGACATAGTCGTGATGAAATACAGAAAAATCTATGCTCTTAGTAATCTATATGAAAGAAGTTGGTAATACTATTGCTAACATTTAATCAAAATTATGGCAATGGAGTTTCCTTAATACTATCTGAATATAAAATTTATAAACTTCATTGATTGAGCGGTATGATCTTCACCAACCACGCAGGTGGTGGTGTACTCCTAAACTCCTGAAACTTCAAAAACTTCAAAAAACTTCAAAAAAAGCTTGAAGCCCTATGTTCTACTTAGAACGCAAAGGAATAAAATAATGAGTCTCAGGATTTCATCATGAACTGACATCGGTTAGAGAACCATTGAAAAACCTTAAGGTACTGGACAGCTGTTTCATCGAACCCAGGGCTTTTTGACTACAAATCAATGTCATAGACCACTATGCCACTGGGGCTTGATCCAGTAGTTCATGAATCCAAAACTCTTCCAATTCACAATATGACTCGACCACTATCGAATATCATCAACAAGTATTTGTCCTCACACGTAACTTGCTGTACTCCACTGGCCATGGAGTTTTTTTTTCATACCCCATCATTACCGTTGATCATATGAATGGATGTATGCTAGGAAGGTAGTGAATGGGTAGTATTCATTATGAAAATCAATGAAATAACATATTATGCCATTTCACTGCTACTGCAGAAGCAATACTGTAACAGCAGAAGGCAAGACACGGAAGCCGAGGTATATTTTCTTCAAGTGATCAAACAGCTATTCATATCTATACAGTTTATCTTTCTCTAACCAATCACTGAGCGTGAGAATTTGGTTTACATTAAACGACATGAAATAGTATGTTCAAATAGCATTCTGCTGCTAACTACATTACTGAACTGTGAGAGCAATACCCCGTTGGAACACACTGTCTGTATTACACCGCCAAAATACTATATGTGAACCAGTGTAAGTGAAATTATGTGCTGGTAGTCTGCATTAGTAAATCGAAAATATTTTTCCTGTTTAACTGTGTTGTTTCATAAAATTTCTCTATTTACAACAAAATTCACAATTAAATTCTGTGTCTCTCTTGTAATTTTTTTTTCTACTACGGTGTTCTCTCCACAGTGTACTTTGTCATCGATTATTGTCGTCTCCCTTGAAACTATAATTCTACAAATTTTAGACTTACCAAAGTTATATCGTGTTTCAGTATATGATATGGTAAGTCTACTCTAGTTAGTTTATTTTCTATTATTCTGGTAATCAGTTATGGTTATGATTATAAATATAATTGCACCTCTCAAAACTTTCATTACAAGACAATTGATTGAATATACATTTAATTTTTAGATGTTTTATAATTTTTAGCCGATAAACACATACATTACCAGAAACATCATCAGAGTATAAGTATAAAACTTGGACACTGTGAGCATCATCACAGTGTTTTCTTTTTGTAAGTGGAAAAAAAACAACAGCTGATAGATTCATAGGTGAATCAACCTCAAAGGCTCCAACCTAATGTAATGTCCGGCTGTTCATCAAAGGAAGTGTGTGCAGCGCAGAAGTTCGCTTAGTTCTTTTGTACAAATGTAACCATTTCCATTAAAAGTGGAAGGTTAGAAAAGGTTAGCTGTCTTTGACTGCAGATTTTTACTTCCTGTCTTTTGATGTGGTTTTGTTCTCTGAGCTGGATGGTTAGTTTGCGAAGCTTTCATCACCTTACTGGGTGACATCTTCAGCGCATACTTCAATTTGAAGTGAGCTTTTAGATTTCTCCACGAGTTTATTAACCATCTCTCTTGGTGACCTTGGACGTGATTGGTTGTTTGTGTATGTTTTCACACCTAAAAGCTCACTTCAAATTGAAGTATGCGCTGAAGATGTCACCCAGTAAGGTGATGAAAGCTTCGCAAACTAACCATCCAGCTCAGAGAACAAAACCACATCAAAATCATCCACCTGAGCTACAAATCTTCTCTATCACTTCCTGTCTTCCATTTTAATATTAAGGTTAGATTATAGTGTGTTAATTTAGGAGAGTGGGACAATCTGTGGGGTCGTAAAACTACATCTACGCACACTGAGCCACTGCTCACCTCAATGAGCATTGTCGACTCACTTAGGGTTTGGCGTTGAAGAAGAATCTGCGGTGGTCAAACTGAAACTTGTCATCATCCTACAAAGTCTTTGACTATTGGTTTGAGTCTATCGCGTAAAGAGGTGCATACTGTGTGGCTAGGATCCTAGGGATATCAAGAACAAATGGGTGGATGATGTTGGTGATATGACTCAAAAATGTTCTCAGGTAACATAGATGTGACCTAACTGTCACGTTCATTCATGTTAGCATTCTTTTTCCCTCACATATCGGCTCATCATAGTCCATTTCTCTTTTTGTCCATCTTTGAGAGTTGTTTGTAGTGTGGTAACTTCACCTAGTGTACCTGTATGCAAAGTTCTGCTCTAAAACTCATCACATTTTAACAGTAATCAGCATCACATGTAACAGAAATTGAAGATTATTAGTGATAATATTACTGATGACAGTATAAACAGATTAATCATAATACAGGCTTTAAATGTGTCGCAATACTTATTTCACAGTAATACTTAGAGTTCAAAATGTAAAAATTAAAATTTATTGTAGCCAAAACTCATGGGACATTCTTGAATTCTAGTCCAAAGTCCTGAGTTCCACTTCTGTTTGACTAGTGGGTGCTCATTGTGACGAAGGGGGTTCCTAATCAAGACGAAACAGATCTCTCAAATACTCACTGGTTTCTCTAACTGATGTTGATTCTCTACCCAATCTCCATTGTAAACGTCAACCAAAAGTATTCGATTATGCTTATCTGATCGGACATTTTCTTCTCCCTCTCAAGACTTTTCAATCATTGACTCATAATATCGCAGAGATTCCATCAAGAAGCCTACACTTTCATGCCTTGTCTCTTGCTTGTATTTGGTTACTTTTTTTGACTTTGTTTACTTGTACTTACGATCGTTCAGTGTTCTTCAGTGTATATATGTTTTCTTGCACATAGAGAGATGTTTTCGACAATGATTATGGAGTGATTTCAGTTAGAGGAACATTGTGAACCAGCGAGGACGTGATACCTATTTCATCCTTGTTAATAAGTCTGCAGCGGTACTCCTCAAGGCATAGAACTCAGAACCTTCAGGTCATACGGGGAGCTCGTATACCATTGAATCACTGATACGGAATCCGATGGCTTGATGAATCCTAACCTTTGCCAATCGTCGACATGTAGCATGACTACCAACCAATGTCAAGGCCAAGAATTTATCCTCATACTCAGCTTTGCCTCTTCAAATGGTCAACACCTCCCACTAAAGCCTGCAACAACTTCATCATTTAGTTCTTCACTAATGAGCACCAGATGAAATTTCGAGTGTTTGGCTGCTGGAATTCAATCTGAAAAGAGACGAAATAGCCATCCAGTACTCGGTGATTTTCACCGACTATCTAACAGTAGTCAGTTCATTGTCACTTTTGAAATCGGTCAGATTCCTGGAAACCAACACTTAAAACACAGAGACCTTCATTCCAGTTGAATCTGTCTGTCTATCTATCTGTTTCCGACATAGAACTTTGCACCGATGTGCAGCAGTTCAAGTAGCACACAAGGAAGAAATGCACAATACAGACAGTAAACGGAGGTGTGAGACAAAGGAATAGTAATAACGAAAAACAATATAGTTTCATTTGAAATCATAAGTCACAAGGAGTGGATGCATCTGCGTTAGCCATTGAGAACGAGGATTTTGAGCCAGCCATATCACCAGTTGTCTCCAGCCTTCATTGGTTTTTACTGTCCTGAGGACCCCAACCAGTCAGGAAGTCTACATCTTCCTACATGGCTGGCTTAAACTAACTGTTGTGGATTTCATTGAATGGTGAAGCCATGTTTTGGTTTGACCACCGCTAGCTGGCTCTTTTCCAGCTTGACCCTATATCAGCTAACATTGCCCGTCGAGGAGGGAAGGCGATAGTTAGGCCTACGTAACACATGTCCTAACCATCTCAGTCGATGTAAATTTCACAGCCTCGTCTGTTGATTTCCCCCATTACCTAGCACTCGACCAACGCCTAACCTCAATATTGCTCACCTTATTATACCACTTCACACGGGAGATAGAGCGCAGGCACCTATGATCAAAGACAACTAACCTTTTCATGTCTTCCACTCCCGATGGCCAGATCTCACAACCATAAAGGAGGATGGAGCGGACTACTGAGCAGTAATTTCGACACAGACAGACTTAGTTATATTCAAGGAACAAAGTATGATGAAAAGCCTTTAATTGTAGTTCTTTTTCGTGTGTGCTATTAAATATCGAACATTCATTTCTGACAACTAAAACTCTGATCGAGACTCCCACACTGCCTTATACATACTTTTCAGAGAAAAAAAGATAATGTTCAATACCTTTTTGATTAATAAAAGTATTTTGAGTGGTTGTGGTATCACTTAGACCAGTAGTTATATATGTATTGTTAACCAAGTGGTTTGCGAGTCACATCTTCAATACTGTTAAATGATATATATCCATTCGCATGGGGATGGAGAATGCAGGCACACATTGGACTGACAATAAGACCCTAGATCTGGACATTGGAGAGGATTTATGTCTCATGTTGAACATAACGTCGTTGAGAAATCTAACAAGTGGTTACAAGAGGCAGCCATGACAAGAATTCAGGTGACCTTAGATACGGAAGACTCTCAATCAACGACAAAAATCATTAATCACCATCATTAGGAGAAGTCGTTTTCCACTTACCTGCTTAGCTTACTTACAAATACAGGCAACAACTTCTTAAAGAAGGAAGGATTAGCGTTTATCAATCTGAAGTCGGTGTAAAGATTTGCAACACTGAATACAAAGAACACTGGACACAAATTTTCAAACCTAATGTCAAGTGAGTACTCCTGAGAGACTCCGCACACATGTCACTGAAATCATTTCAATTAGATGACTGACCGGAAAGTGTAAGCAACAGCAACTTTGTTAGTCAGACAACGAACTGGCTGAGAACTCATCACCTAACACATATTCAGAAAGAAATTGAGATAGTTTGGACATGCTTTGAGAATACCATTGGATGATATCACTTATCACACTTCCGATCAGAATCCGAATGGGAAGCGACAGGTCAGGTACTGTAGGTTAATGGAGAGAGAGGCGGTCTATAGATGACAGCAGTGAACTGAATGCCGCGGAGATGTGTCGTAACTATTATTCATCAATGTGAAAATAAATTGCATTCAATGTATGGTTGTACTCATCTTCTAATGACCGTAGTTTCTTCCTTGTTAGTATCTCCTTTCATTTTTCTATTTTCTATACCTTCATATTCTTTCATCACGCGGGTTACTGTCCACTTATGAGACATAACGCTTTTACTGTTTTCATGAGGTTATTCTTTTCCCTTCAGGGTCATAAGAGTTACGATTCACAGTGACAGTGAATCAATCATTCTAGATACTTTTATTATTGTTTTTCCCTTGGGTTTCGAGTGGAAAATCGGACTCCAACAGCATATATCCACTTTACACTATTCTTTGCGGTCATCTTTAACTCTTTCAACGATTGCGCATTGTTTCTTCCCCGACCGATAGCTGCTACCTTGACGTGGTGGTCTTGCCTGCACATCGCAATGACCCAACAAACTACACTGGCTGGAACTATTGTTCCTTCACGTGCTACCATACCAGGAAGGTTGTCAGGATAGTGATTAGACTAAAAGCAGTTACGGGCATTGCGTAAGAATTGTTTTTACACTATGCTAGGGGTCTGTGGGCGAAGTCGTACTGCTGGAGAACAGCAATGTAACAGCAGTGGGGTGTATACCGATAGACGAACAGCATGCTAGCTATGCTGTCTCTCCACTCTGGAGAGATGGGGTTAGAAAAGGTCGACCCCAACAATTGTACATCCCGACTTACCCTACGGTGATCAATAGTTGCCGCAGATGCATCCACTCCTTGTGACTTATAATTCCCAGTGAAACTGTATTGTTCTTCGTTATTACTATTCCTTTTGTCTCATATCCTTGTCTACTGTCTCTATTATGCATTTCTTTTACTTTCTTCTATTGTTTTGTGTGCTACAAGGAGTGGAGTGTGGCGACTTGAACTGCTGCACATCGGTGCAAAGTTCTATGTTGAAAACAGACAGACAGCATAGTTTCTCCTCTCCTCCTCGCACGACCTGTTACGTATCAGTCTTGGACCAACGCCTAACTAGTTGTTTCCGATTCGGGTTCCACTCGAATAATAGCCTGGTGTGTGATGTTATTCAGCGGTCCCCTCAGTGACGTTTTCCTGGTCCCCTCTCCACTTTCTTTTTTTTCCTTCACTTTCCCATGGAATATAGGGCCTCAAGCTAGTGGCTTGAAGTTTCTGTATTTTTTTTACAGGATGGGGTTACTAGACTCATGCCCACCCTTTCCTCTTTACCAGCATTATTTTTGGCTTAGTGAGGTAAAGGAGTTTGTCGGTGGCCGGGGTTGGAACCCCGGACCGTCTGCACGGTCGGCGATCACTCTAACCGCTGTGCCACCGACGCACTCTCCATTTTCTACAGGATATTTATTGAGCGATCGCTTCTAAGTTTGTTTGTTTTTAATTATTTCTGGTTATTTTATCTGTTGTACAAAATAAATTACATAACACTTCTGATTTCTACGAATGTTTATTATTCTTTTGTTTCGTTAGCTTATATGGCTTGTAACATTTCTAGCCACAACGTGTATTGATGTCCCGATTGGTCTAGTCACAGGATTAGGCTTTTCACTATTAACAGTATTGTATCGTACACAGTCATCATATTACTATGAACTTGGTCAAATTCCCGGTACAAATATTTATGTGGATGTGAAAAAATATGATGAAGTGAGTTATCATCATCATCTGTTGTTGTTGTTTTGTAATTCACTAAACTTGTTGAAGCTGCCTTCCACGAATATTTCAACAGTATCTAGTCACTGGCTTGTTGTGCAGCTTAGTAAGGGACTTTGGTAACACACTCAATGATTTTCGTATAACATTGTCGATTAACCCATATTAGTTTGTTTATTAGATGAGTCACACAGTGAAGAAACAGCATTATTTGCTGGATGACGAGGTTTCGAACAAAATTTATTGTTCATAATCATATCTTCAATTATAATCGCACGACTTCGAAACTTGAGTTTATAGTTTTCTTTGTTTTCTCCTATTCGTCGTCGTAGGGGTGGTAGAATTTTCCAGATATATGAGGCAGGTGTTGAATCATTCCTATTACACGTGTTTGCAGTTGATTCGATAAACAAGGCTTCTGTTATCAGTCTCTCCCTCCACCCTGTTACATTAGACTTTAAAACTCTCATCTTATCCCATCCTATTGTGTGGTTGTGTGTAACTGCATGTAGTGCTATGGCTGAACTATTCTCTAGACTTCTTATCTTATTCGGGTCAACTAATCTAGATTTTGTCAGGTTTTAATGTTCGGCTAGTCTGACTGACAGCACCTGTTCTACTAGTTTGACCTATGTACCTGACCTGACAATCATTCCAGAAGGGTATTAGATAAACTAAATTGTTTTGCTCTAGAGGCTCCACAGGATTGATCCTTCAACCAACAAAGCTTGTTTCTAATTGAGTTTGTGGGTGGTTTGAATGCGAGCCACTTTTATTCCTGCCTTGTTAAGAGTTATAAATTGACTAGGTATATGACTGAATAAATAAAGATCAATATAAATTTCAACAGACATGCATGAAGTGGATGATAGGATGATAAATTGCATTCGGAAATATGTGAATGTTGTATCAACGTGGGAATATAAGACGAGTGTTATTCGTCAATAAGTTGAGTGTTATTAGTAGAATAAAACAAATAAGTAAGATGTTATAATATGATAACATAAATTAATTCGTGAAAAATTCCCATTGGGACATTAATAAAATTCAAAACAAATGATTCAGCAATGATGTAGAATCCCTATTTACGACCGTTTCAATGACAGAAACTGTGTTTTATGTGCAAATATATATATATATATATTATATATATATATATATATATTAAAGACAACCAAATGAACATAGGGATACCCACTACAGAGCTAAAGAAACTACTTTTGAGATGTACATTAGATGTACAGTTTACTTTCAGTGAATTAATCTACAGACAGAATGATCGTATAGCAATTGATTCTTCTTCGGGTCTACTCTTTGCAGATTGTTTTATGTCCAGTCTAGAAAATGGTCAGTTGAAGTCAACAATGCAAAGGTTTCAAATGTATAAAAGGTGTGTAGATAACATATTTATTATTTGCAATAGTCATTATAATTTGAGGAATATATATAAGATGCATATAATGGTTGCCATACAGTGATAAAATTCACACTCGAAACGGAGAACGAGTCCAGTATTCATGTGCTCGATTTTAACTTATGAAGGAGGACCGATGGAACTCTGAAGAGATTGATTTATCGAAAGCTGTTATGGAATGGTCAACTGATAATTTTCTACAGCTGGATACCCATTTGTCGAAAACAAATCCTGGTCCGGTCGCTTGCCACTCGCATTCGGTGCATATATAGACCTGATACTGTGGAGGATAAGTTAAATCTTTTGAAGAAAATCCTAATAGAAAATGGATTTCCGCCACGTTTTATAGACAAGAATATACAGTCAAATCCTATGAAACGTGACTTATCGCCGGTACCCAGGAAAATACTGCACATGAGCTTAGAACTCAAAAGTGACTTAGCTTCCGATATCATGAAAAGAAGGATATCACAATCCCTGAAAAGAACATTCCCTGCTGGATCTTTTAGAATATCCTCTACTAATCGACAAGATTCCGCTGTTGACCAACTCTATGTGCGTTTATAAATTCACCTGCTCGTGTGGAGCTAGGTATATCCATCGTTCGATTGGATTTTTGTCCAGGAGGATACAAGGACACCACAGTCCTCAAGTTTTACACATATATTATTAGGGTGCAAGAACACTATCCTACATGGTAGTTACGAAGAGGTGTAAGCGGAGCAATAAGTAGGGCGATGATTGAATATCTGGTCGATATTGATCATCCTATCTCTATAGCCTCCGCTTTTAAAGTCATTCACAAGTCAAAGAGTAATACACCAAAATCGCTACGTACCCGACTCATCTATATTGCTGAAGCTTTGGCTATCGAAGCAGAAAAGCCAGATCTCTGTGTACAGAAAATGTTGGTTCATCAACTCCAACATTCAAGGTATTAATCCCTCAATGCTAAAGTATGGTAATCCCTAGTCTTACTTTCTCTCTACCAATTTATTTTCATTTTGTCTATTCAATTTGTAGTCTCTTCCTTATTACATCAATTGTTACTATTACTACTCTCACTATGAACTGTCCCCGGTATGATTTCATTTGTTCCACTTGTCATTCTAAATCAATTCTGCTTTGCTAAGTTGAATTCTGTGTTATCGAATTTCATATAGTGTTATGTAACTTTTTTATTTTCATTCTATTTGTCTACTAATATTATAATTGCACACCCTTTCCAAGTTCTGTACATCCTATGAGTTATTCTATATATGACATTAATTGTTTTGGCATTTGACATTTAACTATAATTATAATCACAAACATTTTAATTACATTGCATACTACCATTATTATTTTATAAGTATTCACACCTATGATTGAATTCCCTCACCGGATATATATAATGGTAGTATGAAATGCAATTAAAATGTTTGTGGTTATAATCATGGTTAAATGTCAAGCGCCAAAACAATTAATGTCATATATGGAATCGAGGGCATATGCGTGGGTGGCACAGTGGTTAGGACTCTCGCCGACCATATGCACATGGTCCGAGGTTCGATCCCCTGTCGACGCACACCTGATATGTATGGTCGGTCTGCAGAATTTGGGCTACCGATATCACGCGCTTAAAATTCCATACCTGTACCAAAAATTATGGTGTGGAATCAAGCTGTAATCAAAAATAAAAAAAGAATACTGGAGTCGTTCTCCAATTCGATAGTGAATTTTACCGCTGGATGGCAGCCATTAAATGTATTTAATATGTTGTTCAAATTGCAAATAATACAAATACAAATTAAGAATACATTTGAAAGCTTTGGATTGTTGACTTCAACTGATTATTTTCTTAGACTGGCCGTAAAATAGTCTGCCAGGAGTGGAACCGAGGGAGAACCCATTGCTATACCATCATTCTGTCTGTAGATTGTTCCATCGAAAGTAAACCGTACATTCAATATACATCTCAAAAGTAGCTCTTTCAGATCTCTAGTGGGTATCCTTATGTTCAATTTGTTGTCTGCAATATATTTGCTCAAAAAGTATACGATTTCTGTCAGTGGAACTTTCGTAAATAGGGATCTTACATCCAAAGACAACACATGTTCATTCGATGTATTTGTATATATATATATATATATATATATATATATAATAAACATATTAACACAAAATAAAGTGGAACATTATTTCCTGTCCTTTGATATGGTTATGAGTTATATTTTCAGTATCTCTGGTGTTGAGTCATTTCTATTGTTTGTGTTAGGTGTAGATTCGATGAACAAAGATTGAGTAATTAACTTCTCTCGCCAGCTATCTATATTACTTTTTAGAAATGAAGCTCTGTCCCACCCCATAATGTGGTTATGTTAATGCATGCTTGACGGTTGCTGCGTTTTTTGTTTAAATTAATTCTCTTGGCGGGGTCAGTAATTCTACAATTAGCTTAACTCTTTTGTTCCCATAGAGAAAACATAGGTGATGAAGATTCCTGGCCAACACCAACAGCAACAACAACAACAGACAACAATCAGCATAAATGGGAGGAACATGAAAGAAACAACCTCCTTCAACTACCTACCTGGGAAGCATCACTCCAGTTACAGGCATATGGAGCTGACGAGGATATCAAGGCAGCGAGGATCGAGAAAGAAAAACAAGCTTTCGTTACCTTCAAGTCTGTGTGGAGGTCAACATCACTCAGCATCATAAATAAGATCCAGATTTTCAACTCCAATGTGAAGTCAGTGCTACTCTTTATACGGACCAGAGACATGGCCAGCACGTCATGAAGAGCACCTCAGACAAACATTAAAGCTTCATTAACAGCTGTCTTCGCTCAATACTCTAGATCAGATGGACAGAAAATATAAGCAACAGGGATTTCTCGGAGCGAACCAAAACAACGGGAACCGATTGTGCAACAAATAGCAGGAAGAAATGGAGGTGGATTAACCATACTCTAAAGAAACCATCAAGTAACATCACTAGACAGGCTCTCGAGTGGAAAGCGGCGAGTTGGTCGTCCTATAATGATTTGGAGGAGGTCGTTTGAAGAGGAGATGAAAGCATGTGGGAAGTCTTGAAGCCAGGTGAAAACTCTAGCAGAGAACCGAAAGCGATGGAGACACGCGGCTGAAGCCCTTGTTCCCCTAGGAATTAAAGGAAATAATGATATTGTGTTCCCATAATCAGTCTGTCACTGATCTACTGGTTTGACTTATGTAGTTGACTTCTTAACCTACTGTCATTGCAAGGTATTTTGTAAATTATATTGATTATTTTGTCTAACTGAACCGGTCGACAGGGTCCTTTTACCTACACAGCATATCCTAGCTGAATAAGTTTATAAGTTTAAATGCTACACTAATTCCTACCTTGCTAGGAATCCTATTTATAGAATCTCAGATGTCGTTTGCTTATATGGTAAAACTAATGTGCATGCCTTAAAATCTTTTTTCTTTCCTTGTTATCGTTAACAGTTTTTCACTGTTATTTTTACCTTTCTTGTGTGAGGGTTTGTAATTTTCTTACTGAATTTTTATGATATAGTGTTTTAGCACCAATGGATTCTTCTATCTGTTTCATTTCGTCATTTTGGTTTTTTGATGCAATTCTGAGTGCTATTTCCCGGTCTGTTTTAGGCACTTAACTAAGCCTGCCTTCACAGATAACGAATGAGATAAACTGAAGTCTAAATAGCTATGAGAATGCTTTGGCTTTGTATATACTGTGTATATTTTTACGAGTTGATCATGGATGGATATCAGTTAGAGATCCATTGAAAATCAAGGAGTACTGGACAGCTGTTTCATCCTAGTTTAGGAATCATCTACAGTACGCACCAACTGGGGTTCAAACTCAGGACCTTCCGGTTACAAGGCAAGCTCGAATACCATTCAGCCACTGGAAGCCGATTCAATGGCCAATCCATGAATTGTAACTTCTACCAGTTCGTGATTTAGCACGACCCCAACCAATTTCGTCGGTGAGACATTGCAAACTACTAACTAAATTCCAAATTGTAAATTTGATTATATGGAATTATGTTACTGAATAATTTGGAATACAGAAAATCGTGAAGCATCATGAAATTTATTATGCTGATTATGGTTTCTTCCCAGCATCTATGGATAAATTTTTCATATAAACTGAACACAGGGTTTCAAATACATGGTGTGTCTTTATCTCTCATATTTATTGAGCTTACAAACAACTAAGGTAGTTAAGGGTGTGAATCATCTACCGGGAATCGAACCCCGGACAATATGTATGTATAGCTAGTGAGCATATCAAGAATTTCTTTTTTCTGATAAATAAAGATATTGGATCACTGCTTATTGGATACCACCATCAAGAACTATCATGTTTTCTTTCTATTCCGGATGATGTCATTAGTACAGCTTACCTGATCTATAATTCCGTGTAAAATAGTCGCGGATAGAAGTGTTTATTTCACGTGTGTTTACGTTCATCTCTTCGCTAATTACTTGGAATTCATTTCAATTCCGATCACGGATTATTACAGGGTAGTGAACCATGAAAAACCGACAGGAGTCTATGAGGTCGCTTTGTAACCGGGTTCGAACCCCTGTTAGGGCGTACTGATGAAGTGTCCCAAAGTGCGAAGAAACAGCTGTCTAGCACTCCCAGATCTCCCTATCATTCTTTAACAGATATCAACTCATGATGAAAGCCTGTAACCAAGAAGGGAGCAGTGGACAGCTGTTTCGTTCTACTCCCTTCCCCCTGGCGGGATCGAACCTAGAACCTTTCTTCAGCTTATATGGCCAGTAGTTTGTTGACCGTTCAGCCATTTGAATTGCGCTTTTTCTGTTGTTGCTTCTATTGAAATTTTTTCAGGCTATAAAACTTCCTCATATTATTATATTAAAATATGGTGGACCGTTGTATTATGCCAATGCTGAATCATTTCAAAATTGGTTAAATAAGACAACACAAATGGATCCACACAAATTGATAAAACAACATCAACGTAGAGAAAAACAACAAAAAGAACAACTACAAAAGAAGAAGGGCGAGGAGGAGCATAAGCAACAATCGAATGGAGAAGGTGATGATGATGATGGCAATGAAGTACACCCTTCAAATAGAAAAAATTCGTTCACATGTGGAAATTTATGTGCATGGATGAAATGTATAAAGAAGAAGAAGACTACCGCTGATTCACAATTTAATGCTTTAACAATAAATAATAATGATGATGTAAGTCAGTGTGATTTTTTCTTTAGTTCGTCTAGTGTGTGTGTGTGTGTGTGTAGTCTGTTAATTTTGTCATCATTTTGTAAAAGGTAACATCCTACAGGCTACAGGTCACTGCAATGTAAGTCGGGATGGACTATTTTCGGGGTCGACTTTGTGCAACCTTCCCTCCTTCACCCAGGGTGGAGGAAAGGCAACACAGCTGACATGGTGGTCATCTGAAGGGAACACCTTACACTTCTGTTACATCGCTATTCCCTAGCAGTGTGAATTCTCATTCAGACGGTTTTAACGCTGTGATGTCAACTGTTCTTAGTCTGACAACAATCCAAACGACATTTGTGGTATGAGCGAGATCTGCAGAAACATTAATCTCAGCCAGTATGACTGCATATGCAAGCCCAAAGACCACTTCACTGTAGCAGCTATCAGTTGGCCATCCGATACATCTTGTTGCTACAACCGATTCTGTTTCATAACATCACTGTATAGAGTTTTTCACGCGATATGACTGCCTTCTGTGAACTGGATGCCTTAACTGCAATTGTAGTAACATTGAAAATATCCAACTACGTTATTTAATCAGTGAAGACTATTTGTGTTACCCTTTTTCATTCTTCAGTGTTCTCAATGGAACATAAACCTTCAGGTTAGAGCTTTGAAGTCTCGGTAGCAGTGGTATTTTAATTTTTTCGGGATCGGGTTGCTAGACCCACGGTCAACCTTCCCTCTTTGCCAGTCTTATTACTGGCTTAGTGAGGTAAAAGAGTGCGTCGGTGGCCGGTGATCGAATCCCGAACTACCTACGGGGTCGGTAAGTAGTAGATTTTATGGTGTAGAGTTAGCTGCCAGTCTAACGCCCAACCTCCATTATCTAACGGCCTTACTGTCGTTCACTCAAGGTTCGGGAATGCGTCAACTGAGAATTGAAACCTGGACCACGTGTTTGGTTGGCTGACATCTTACCAATGAACCTCCAACGCGTTACCTACCTATTGCTCAGTTACTTTGTGGGGTAATTTTACAGCCTATGGCTAATATTTTCCAGATAGTTTTTGTTGACGATGAGTTTCGAGGTTGATTGCCGTCTCTAGTTTCTTTGAATCACACTTTTCTACTCAGTTACCTATAACACTCTCTATAGTTCTAATTCTGTATCGTCAAACACGTATTTTTGACGAGCCTGAATAACTCAGTAGTGTAACATCTCAGTCTGTTGTACGTTGGTGTTGTTCGTCGGTGGCACAATGGTTAGGACTGTCGCCGACCATACACATGGTTCGAGGTTCGATCCCCTGTCGACGCACACCTGATATCTATGGTCGGCCTGCAGAATTTGAGCTACCGATATCGCATGCTGAAAATTCCATACCTGTACCAAAAATACAGCATGGAATCAAGCTGTAATCAAAATTCAAAAAAATATACTTAGTGTTGCGTGTTAGAATAATCCTGTTTATGGCTATTTTATGTTGATAACTGCCCATAAGCATGAAAATTAGATTCGTGGTTTCCTGCCCAATGCCTTCAACCACCACCTCACCTAGGTTTCTAGCCAGTCCTAAGGAATTTTGTATTGCATTATCTTTATGTGAATAAGTGAATAATATTCTTCTCAAACATCGACCTTGAGTACATATTACACTTACTACTTCCCTTCAGTATCCCTTGGGTGTATTTTTATTTTTAATTTTTTTTATTCCTTCACACGTCCTGAGCGAAACATAGAGCTAGAGCTGTGAAGTCTCGGTAGCGCTAGTTTAATTTTTACGGGGTGGGATTTCTAGCCTCATGCCCTACCTACCTTCCCCCTTTACTAGACTAACTATCGGCCTAGTGAGGTTTAGGAGTGCATCGACTGGAAATCCCAGATCACATATGACGTATCAGTAAATTATTTTTACGTTATTCAACTTTACACTTCTTGTCAAAATATCCGTCTTTTCTATAATTTACCGCTCATTATTTTATGTTATGTTATCATCCCCTTGACTTCATAGTGGAACATTGGGCTTCACCAGTAAACCATCATTTCATCATGTTCTCCGCATTCCTCTTCATCTGGCTTCATGATTGCCTATAAGCTTTCACCACCTCCTCCTCAACCACTCGCCTAAATCGTCCTTCCCCATTAGCGTTTCACTCAAGAGCTGGCCTCGCATGCAGGGTCACTCAACAGTCTTCTGAGCGTGTATCTGATCCATTTCCATTCTCTTCAACGTATTTGTTGGCGAATAGAGTGTTGGTTAGTTCGTTCCCGGAATTCCCTTTTTGCTTACCTTTTATGGCTATCTGATTACCAGTATGGAGGGAAGACAGCTGTTGATGAAAGTTTCCGGCTGCCTGTTGGAACTGCTTTCCGTGATGCGCTAATCAACTCCCTGAACTGTACAGAACTGACTGACTTAACATTTGTATTGAAAATCCGAATTTTGTTGTTGATGCTGAGTGACGAAGATTGGTTTTCCAGATTGATTTCAGGTTGATGAATGTGTTTCTCGCCTTCCCGATTCTCGATTTGACATACTCATCCGTTTCCCCCGTAGTTGAGAAAATGCACCCTAGATAAGTGAATGAAGTAACCTCTTTCAAATCCCTCCCGTTGATGGTGATTGGCGCTGGATGTTGCTGCTGCTGTTGTTGGTTGGTTGGTTATTGTCATCACCTCCGTTTTGTCTGTGTTCACCTGGAGTCCTGTCTTCGCCGGCTGCTTCTTCGACCAGTTTGTCGGTCGGTTTTCTCTTGTAAGTCTTCGATTTTGTGTGACATTAAACATGAATCATACACGCGTGAAATCCAAGTCTTCTATGTTCTTCACGTCGGTCCAGGATATCCCTGTCTTCTCGTTTGCCACCCACTGTCTGACGCATAATCCAGTCCACTACAATTAGGAATGTCATTGGTGATAATAAGCAAATGCCCTTGTCTGACTCCTGTGTTTACTCCAAACGCCTCGCTGAGTTTTCCGTTGTGGATCACTTGACATGTGCCGTTGTCGTACAGCTGTTGAATAAGGTTGATGAATATTTGGGGTACGCTTATTTTTAAATGCTTAAAATAAAAATGTCACTCATAGTTTGATAGAAAGAATTATCAAGTTGTTAGTTTGCAAAGACTTAATTGGTTCCACAGCTGATTGAATGAAGTTGCCTAGAATCCTAGTGCGGATCTGTGTCCTATGGGGTTCACCTGGTCGCGTGTGGCAATAAATACTCCTCTATGACTCTGCCTGATTGTGACTCTAAAAATCACTAACTGACAAAAGTAAGAATTCATGGGTCATTTGGTTCCGTCTCAGTTGCTGAATAAATGCTCAACAATCTTGGCGTGTTACCTTGAGTTTGATCTCTGCCACTAACAGCATAGGTGCACTGCTAAACAATGCCCCAAAAACAAGGACGAAACAGCTATTCGATATTCCTAAGATCTCAATGTTTCTTGAACTTATATCAGTCCGTGATCAAACTAAAAAATATGCGCTTTGTCATCAGGAAATGTGTATTTATTACTTCGATGACCAAAGCTTCTAGTCATTTCTGTCTATCTGTCTGTTTTCGACATAGAACTTTGCACCGATGTGCAGCAGTTCGAGCCGCCACACTCCACTCCTTGTAGCACACAAAGCAAGAGAAGAAAGTAGAAGAAATCCATAATAGAGACAGCAAACAGAGGTGTTTCATTTGAAATTTTAAGTCACAAGGAGTGGATGCATCTGCACCAGCCATTGAGAACGAGGATTTTGAACCATATCACCAATTATTTCCAGCCATTGGTTTTTACCGTCCTGAGGACCCCAACCAATCAGGAAGTCTACACTTTCCTGCATGGTTGGCTAGCTTAAACTAACTGTTGTGGATTTTATTGACTGATGAAGCCATGTTCTGGTTTGACCACCGCAAGCTGGCTCTTTTCCAGCCTGACCGTAGTCATTTAGAAAGTTGGATTATTCATAGGCTGAATCATAAATAAGTGACAGATGGCTGTGGGGTAAAGTATTTTGCAGTTGACATTGATAGTATCTATAAGGGATTCGCCAAGAATTTTACAACACTTAATCAATATACAGAAAAAATGTCAAAGATGATAGCTATTAGCGATTGGAATACATGTCTTGTGTTCCACTAGCCTAGTGAATAACCCTCGGAATTTGAAACAATCGATGGTGGGATTTGGGTCTCAGAGCGAATGCAAGTGCATTCACTAAGTAGCTGATAATGCTCAAACAAGGATGGAATGTCACTGCTCTAGTCACCGGCCAACAACCAAAACTAAACATGATTTGAATACTTCTCAAATCAATTTTTTCAAAGGCGTTCTTTTTTGTTGTTTCAAAATACGAAATAATTATAATCATGAATTATGTAATTGTTATCAGTTACAATTATCAGGTGAAATGAAGCTTTATAATACTTTTTTATAACGTGATCTGAACACACACACACAAACACACACGCGTACTCTTAAAAGCAATTGTCAATAATTGAAAGGTCATAGAAAAGGTATTAAAATTGACTAACATTTTCGATATTCAGTTATATGATGAGCAAATAATACATTTTTCAGAATAAAAACGACTAACGGAGACATGAAGATTGAATGATCATGAGCCGACATCAGACTGAGTAATACTAAGCGCAGTTATTTCGTGTTAGCTGTGGACACCTCAGCAGTAAATAAACATGACCTTCTCTCCAGGGGTCAAGCTCAGGAACTTCAGGTCTAACTAAATGCGAATGAAATCCATACAAATCGACGCTTGGACAGTGTCTGTAAGTATAGTATGTGCTTTGCGCCGTCTAAGTGCAAAGTACTGTCACAAGATTGGCAGGAGCCTGCACCTGCACTCACTCTTGCAGGTGAACCGCTTGAAGTTGTTGATAAGTTTGTGTATTTGGGTAGTTGTGTGAGTGCTGGCGGAGGGTGACGGATGAGATTTACAACCGTATAATGAGGGCTAGGGTGGCATACATCAACTTGAACCACCTCTAGCGCCGTCGCGACGT